CATCATATGCGATTGATAATTGCTTCCTGGGGGAAATGTCTGTTTTTATTTTATTTGTTTATTTGTTGTTTTGAATTAACATGTGGGATGTAAAACACAGAAAATGATGATGATGATTAAATGCACACTAACCTAACGACTAACCTGACTGGCCTAATCCCTGACAACGTGACTGATTCCCGCTTACGATGATTTTGTGTTTGAAAAAATGCATAATGTCTCAAACGAGTTGCTGCTGGAATTTTTGAAAGGCAGAGGTAAAAGAGCAGATGTACATTATGAGGCATACAAATTTACTTTTGTGGAGGGGCAAACTGCTTCCATTTTCTTTGATCTGTGCTCTGTCATTGACTGTGGATCAGAAAAGGGGGCTTACCAATCAGCTAGGGTGTATGTCTGTACAACTGAAATAATGCCTTATTTGAACAAGGACTTGGGGTGTGGTTTTCAGTTAGGCGGATGGGGAAAAATTCCTTTTCAAGACCGACTAGAAATTAGGAGAGACCAAATTAAAGGGGGCCTGTGTGTTAATGATTCTATTTGTAACCCTATGTTTCTGACTTTGAGAAATCCACTGGTGTCAGACATTGGATTTCTGTTGATGGGGCTGGTGGTGAGAGGACAAGATCCAGTGGGTAAAATCTATATTCATGTGGTGCAGCTTAGCGACTTGGAGCTAACAGTTGATGTGGGATCTAGTAAGCAACTTGTTGTAGATACTGGAGTTACGGAGACTAATTATTGGTTGAGGTTTGTCAGAAATGCAGCCAGTCAAGCAAAATTGTCAAATTGTGTGGTTTGTGCAGAGGCACGGCCAGCACTATTAACAGTCCCATCACCTCTGAGTAATGCGTCAACTTTTTTCTGTATGTTGCAATTACATATTACTGAAAACCCATCAGTTCAGTGTAAATATTTAGAACATTTCTTTTCTATGTCTTCAAGAACAGATGTTCCTCCTGTCTTCAAGGCGGTGGAGGGCAGTTTCACTTGTTTGGCCAGAAGGGGGCGGCAGAGAAGCGTGGATGTTGGATGGCTGAATGTGACCTGATGCAAACAGGTGATTGATGTATCATTGTGGGAGAATGCAACAATGTTAAATGTGTCTAGGGCGGATGTATTTTAGTACTGTGGTAATATTCGTTTGTTAAAGGTGTTGCCAGT